GTACAAATTGAAACTAAACTTGTTTATTTATTTATTTTTGCAAATAAGTTAGTTTATATCTCTCTTTAGTAAAAGGGGGAATGGAGAGAAAAAAACATATCAGAAGAAAATTACAGTGCACTCGTCACTAGATTTTAGCTTTGTCCATATTTTTAGTTTAATTAATATATTTGTTAAACAATAAAATGTAAAAAAAGTTTAGTATGGGAGGGAGGGAAGAAGGGGAAAGAGGAAGAAAAAAGTAAAAGTGTGTTTAATTGACAAAAAATGAGAAGGTATTTGCTGATGATAATGTATAGAGTACTATCTTTGTCTTGACTGATATGTATGGTATGCATGCTAGAAAAAGAAATGTTGTACACTGTAAAGATATATGTGATTAAATGTAAATAAAAAATAAATGCTATGTTACTCTAAAAAATTCATGGAACATATGAAGTCCCCTCAGATATATGTATATTCATATCTACAATACAATGCCCATGGGTTTATATACATGCATTTGCTATATTTAAATTTTTGCTTTTAAAAGACTGTGGTTTAGGGAACCGGCAGTTAGCATAATGGCTATGTCGCTGGACTCCCACGTAGTCGAAAGCGGTTCACGCCCCGGACCCGGTGGCTTAAAACTCACGTCGGGTACCATTTTAAATCCAGTTCCATACAACACTCCTCCGCCGCTGCTGCCATGACCCGAACTGCCCGCCAGCATCCCTGTGCCGACAGTTCCGCCACCACGGAGAACGTGAACGAATACAGCAACATAGAGGAATTCACGGAGGGAATCTAAGATCAATGCCAGCAAGAATCAGCAGGATGACGGTAAAATGTTTATTGGAGGCTTGAGCTGGGATACAAGCAACAAAGATCTGACTGAATATTTGTCTCGATTTGGGTAAGTTGTAGACTGCACAATTTAAACAGATCCACTCACTGGAACATCAAGAGGATTTGGATTTGTGCTTTTCGAAGATGCTGCTAGTGTTGATAAGGTTTTGGAACTAAAAGAACACAAACTGGATGGCAAGTTGATAGACCCCAAAAGGGCCAAAGCTTTAAAAGGGAAAGAACCTCCCAAAAAGGTTTTTGTGGGTGGACTGAGCCCAGATACTTCTGAAGAACAAATCAAAGAGTATTTCGGAGCCTTTGGAGAGATTGAAAACATTGAACTTCCCATGAATACAAAAACAAATGAAAGAAGAGGATTTTGCTTTATCACATATACAGATGAAGAGCCAGTTAATAAATTATTAGAAAGCAGATACCATCAAATTGGTTCTGGGAAGTGTGAAATCAAGGTTGCACAACCCAAAGAGGTATATAGGCAACAGCAACAACAACAAAAAGGAGGAAGAGGTGCTGCAGCTGGTGGAAGAGGTGGTACTAGGGGTCGTGGCCGAGGTCAGGGTCAGAACTGGAACCAGGGATTTAATAACTATTATGATCAAGGATATGGAAATGACAATAGTGCCTATGGTGGTGATGAAAACTATAGTGGCTGTGGCGGATATGATTATACTGGGTATAACTATGGGAACTATGG